CACTCACAGCAACTTCCAACTCCTGGGCTCAAGCGAGTCTCCTGCCTCAGCCTCCCAAGTAGCTGGGACCACAGGTGCCCGCCACAACACCCGGCTATTTTTTTTTTGGTTGCAGCTGTCATTGTTGTTTGGCGGGTCCAGGCTGGATTCAAACCCGCCACCTTAGGTGTATGTGGCTGGTGCCTTAGCTACTTAAGCGACAGGCGCTGAGCCAAGATAACATTCTTAGCAGAGTCTTTCACAGTTGCTGGGTTCTGCCGCAGGAGTATAGCCTTGGTCACCTCTGAGAGCCATAGGGTGGTGGCTCTAGCCACTGGATGGTAGAGGGTGTCTGTAGGCCTGTCTGTGCCTGGACAGTGGGCCTCCACTGATCCTGCCTGACCTCTTATTGCAGCAGCTGACGTGCTGGTATACCTGGCGGATGACACAGTGGTGCCCCTGGCTGTGGAGAACCTGCCCTCACTCAGTGCCCATGAGCTGCACCGCGCAGTCCGTGAGGTCCTGCAGCTCCCAGATATTGCTCTGGATGCCTTTGCACTCTGGCTCGTCTCTCCTCTGCTGGGTAAGGCTTGGTGGGGAAAAGCCCAGGCTAGAGGATTGAAAGGGCACTGACCAGGGAGGGAGGGAAGGGGGCAGCTTCTGGAACTCTGGCTACTGTACATCAGGGGAAGGTGGGACTCAACTGTGACCTGGAGCTGTTTGTCCCTTTGAGGAGCAGAGCCCTGAAGAGACTTCTGGCACCTCCACCCACTGCCATCTTTCTTTCTGCTAGTAGTAGAGGAACTGCCCCTCACCTCAGTGTGTGGGATCCAGGACGTAGGAAGGAGCCAGACCATGAGGGCAGAAGGGAAGGGGCTGTGCCCCCTGAGCACACAACCTGTTCCACAATCCTAGCACTTTGTGAATGTGATCTTGCCTTATCTTCAGCCCACACTCATCTTGCTGATGAGAAGCTGAGGCTTGGAGTGCTCAGACCACTGACTGGCAGGGCCTAGATAAAACCTGGGTGGCCTCTAAGAGGCCTCTTTGCACTGTGTCCTGTTTATTGGGGGCAGGGAGGAGGGGGACACAGGCCAGGAAGCAGCCCCCTTTAACCTTGAAGCTTTTGTTGGGAGGGAGGGCTAAAAAGAGTATGGATACTTCTCTGCTGGGGGGTTCCAACCCTGCCTGTTATCTGGCCCTGTGACTACCCATGTCCTATCCTTTAGGCAGAGATTCCAAGGTAGAGTGAGCATGGGGGTGGTGGCTCTCAGACCCTCAAACCTGGATCTCTGGGTGAATCGGGTCTCTGAGCCTGCTGGCTTGGATAGCAAGAAGGCCAAAGGAGAGGATACCCCATGTTGTTGTTTAGAGATGTAAATTGATAATTGGTGCCAGGGCCAGGCACGTTTTCTAAGCTTAAATATTGTATTTGTTACTTGGGAGGCTGAGGCAAGAGAATCACCTAAGCCCAGGAGTTGGGGGTTGCTGTGAGCTGTGTAACGCCATGGCACTCTACTGAGGGCCCTGAAGTGAGACTCTGTCTCTAAAAAAAAAAAAAAAAATTTGTATTTGTTGTAGAAGAATGGGAATAGGGGCAGAAAGAGGGTGACATCCCATTGGGAGTTGCAGGATGGCTGGGTACAGTGGCTCACACCTATAATTCTAGCCCTCTGGGAGGCCAAGGCAAGTGGATTGCCCAAGCTCATAGGTTGGAGACCAGCCTGAGTCAGAGCAAGACCTTGTCTCTGAAAAAAATAAATAGCTGGACATTGTGGAGATGCCTGTAGTCCCAGCTACTCAGGAGGCTAAGATAAGATCACTTGAGCCCAAGAGTTTGCAATTGCTGTGAGCTACAACGCTACAGCACTCTACCAAGGGCAACAAAGTGAGACTGTGTCTCCAAAAAAAAAAAAAAGAGAGAGAGAGAGTGAGCAGGATAATCTAGTCCAGGCCCAAGGGGTTCCCAGTGATTATTTTCTTTTCTGAGGCCACTGGGGTCAGCCTACACCCCAGAGAGGGAATCTCAGTCAGCCTGGTAGGGAGGGCACTCCCCCCTCCCCCCATCCTCCTCCAGAGCTTCCTGCCCAGCTGCTGCTCCAATGCCCTCGCCCACCCTTTTCCTGCTGACTGCCCACCCTTTTCCTGCTGACCCGTCTCCTCAGGCCTCCAGACACCCCTCCTTCACCTCCGGACTGTTGGTCAGGACTATGGGCCCATTGGCTGGTGTCTTTGGAAAGCTGGAGGGGGGTTCCATGTGGATCAGTCCCTGCCCTGCCCTGAGAGGGAGGCACCCAGTGCCTGCCAGTCAGTTCACTTCCTCCTCTTTCTCTCCCTTGAACATTCAGGAATAGGCTGCCTGTATGGCCTGAGACAGCCATAATTAGCACCCACTTTGTCCCTGGACCAGATTCCAGGAAGCTGAAAGGTTCCTTCCTTCTTCTTTGACTAGGGCCCCCTGGAACCTTTGGCTTCCCCCTATCTTCTCAGATTGAGTGAAGCGGTGGTACGTACCTGAGGTCCTGAGCACCCTGTATGACAGGGAGAGGGTGCTATCTGCTGGAGCCACCCTTCATGCCAGCTGTTTTGGCAGGGCTTGGCCTTCTCAGTGCTGCTGTCACTCTGCATGGAACAGGACTCCATGAACTGTCTCTTTTGGGTAACAGCCTCTGGGCAGGATGGCTAATCTGGATATTCATGGGACCATGGGGTCAACATAGATCTGTTTTTTTTTTTGAGGCAGAGTCTCACTTTGTCACCCTCGATAGAGTGCTATGGAGTCACAGCTCACAGCAACCTCAAACCTTGGGCTCAAGAGATTCTCTTGCCTCAGCCTCCCAAGTAGCTGGGGCTATAGGCACCCACCACAATGCCCAGCTACTTTTTTTTAGAGATGGGGTTTCGCTATTGCTCAGGCTGGTTTTGAACCTGTAAGCTCAAGCAATCCACCCACCTCAGCCTCCCAGAGTGTTAGATTACAGGTGTGAGCCAGTGGGCCTGGCCCTGATAGTTCTCTCTTTTTTTTTTTGCTGTTTTTTTTTGGCCAGGGCTGGGTTTGAACTCACCACCTCCAGCATATGGAGCCGGCACCCTACTTTGAGCCACAGGTGCCGCTCCCGATAGTTCTCTTCTAATGATGGGAGTCCTCTGAGCTACTGGGATGGGGGTTAAGGATGGCCAGGACTGGGTTCTATGTGGGAGAAAGGGCACACTTATCCCTGGGGTTTCCCCCACAGTGAATCCAAAGGGTCCCATGTAGTTACCTTGTTCATTCCACAAAAGCCTCCCTTGTGCAAGGCAGTGTTTTAGATGCTGGTGGCACAGTGCCACTGTACCTATATGGGCTTCAACTTCCCCCCTGTAAAGTGGGTGATCTCCAGACAGAGCATGAGGAGAACTCTGGCCAAGGGCCTGAGCAGTCTTAGGTCAACAGTGGGGTAGGCTGGAGTTCCCCTCTGACTAAGGGGACTTGGGGATCCCCTGACTGAGATCCCCTCTCTGGGGTATAGGCCAACCTCAGTGGCCTCAGAAGAGTAAATAATCACTGGAGGCCCCTTGAGCCTGGACTAGATTGTCCTGCAGTTCCAAAGGAACGTGTTCTTCCCAAAATGTGTTCTCTCCTACCTTGGAATGATTCTGATGAGGGAGCCCTTTCTCGGGGGAAAGGGAGGTGGATGTTAGGATCAAATGGCACATCCCCCTGGATTGATGGTGAAGATGGGTAGTGCCATAGATCTAGGCTGGAAATGAGAGCTGTGAGGCCTCTGAAAAATCTAGATCAGAAACAGCAGGATAAGAAAAAGAAAGAAAAAAAGATCAGAACAAGAAAAGACTGAAGCTGCTGGGTTCAGGGCTTAGGTAAAAAAGGCTGCTTTGTGAAAGTCAGGGCCCACACGGAAGGTCCAGATGACCCAAAGAACAGAGATGAGGATCCTCGTCTTCAAGCTAGCAGGATGAGGTACTCAGGCATCGAGGGGGTGGGGGGTGGAGGTATAAAGTGGGGAGATACAGATCAGAGAGGGATTCAGAGGCAGGGTAGAAGGCTGTCCCCCCACTACACCCTGCACATATCCTTGTTTATCTTAGGTGAGCATTCATCTCACACCTCTCAGAGTCAGTGTGGGTTCCCCCTCCTCCAGGGCTATGGTGAACAGTCAGTCTGGAGCCAGGCCCATCTCACTCGCTGGGTGACTTTGAACAAGTAGCTTAACCTTCCTGAGCCTTATTTTCTTCATGGGTGAAATAGGGATTAGGGTAATTGTAGGGTAAGTGTGTAGAAATCACTTGGGATGGTTCTGGATGCTTAGTACCTGCTCAGTTACTATTGGCTGTGACTGTCATTGTTGCTTGTTAGTGGGCAGTGGTGGGGTGGGCGGGCAACTGCTGGACCTGTCAGGGGCTACACTTCCCCTCTTGTCCTGCAGAAGTACAGCTGAAGCCCAAGCACCTGCCCTACAAGCTGGGCCGCCAGTGGCCAGAGCTGCTGTTGCGCTTCACCGACGCGCCGGATGACGATGTGGCCATGGGTCAGTGCTGCTGCCTTCCTGTCTCTGCTTTGGGCCCACCTGAGTCTGGAGTGCTGCTCCCAGCCCAGCCAGGCTACTGCTGGCAGGTGGAGCTGCCCTGAGGGGCAGGGCCTGCATCTCCCCCAGGTTCCCTCCGCCACCCTGGCAGGGAAAGAACAGGTCCCGGAGGGAAGCCCCAAGGAAAGAGGTGGGGAGGGCAGCAAGCACATTGAGATGAGTGTACACCTCACTCTCTGAACAGCCCTCAGTTTTCTCAGTCATGCTGAATAAGGTGGGAACTGGGGCCCAGCTCAGTCAGGGAAGAGGATAGGGCTGGGCTAAGCCAGGAAGTGACCCCCACTTCTGTCCCCAGATGAGCCTTCCCTGCAGTTCCGAAGGAATGTGTTCTTCCCAAAGCGGCGGGAGCACCAGGTGAGGCAGTACTACATCTTGCCCCTATGCCCACTCTCCCCTGTCCCTAGACCCCTGGAAATTCACGCCTGGCTCCTGCCTGGCTGAGCAGCCTCTCCCTGCCGCATTGGCCCACAGATCCAGGATGAGGAGGTCCTGCGGCTACTCTATGAAGAGGCCAAGGGCAATGTGTTGGCCTCACGGTACCCCTGTGACATGGAGGACTGTGAGGCACTGGGTGCCCTCGTGTGCCGTGTACAGCTTGGGCCATACCAGTCTGGCCAGCCTGCGGCCTGCACTGTGAGGTGAGTGGCTGTGTGATCTGTGGCAGGGACACAAGGAGAGGGAGGTTGCCCCCAGAACCCTACTTACAAGGGGTCTTAGGTCTGCAAGGTGAGGTCACAGTCCTGGAGTCAGGAGGCCTCGGTGCACACACACTCACTAGGTGGCCTTGGGGAGGTCATTCCACCTCTCTGAGCCTCTTTTTCCTCATCTGTTCTGGCAGCAGGATACTCAGGTGAAGTGCTATCTATGAGAGGAGGCCACGGCCCAAGTGGCCCCAGCTGCACATGACAGTGGAGCCCAAGCTCTGGCTTGTTCTTTGGGAGTCATAGCCAGAGACCACACACATACTGACTTCTAGTCCCCAGTAATAGTCAGCTTAGTTCCATGTGCTGGGGATGGGGCCCACGCCTGATACTCGGCATGCCTGCTTGCTGTTTCCCACTCTCTCTCAAGAAGCCGTGTAAACTAGCAGGGCCTCAGAGGTCACGAGGGGTGAGTCTGCCCTGGCCACAGACCCGGCAGCCAAGCTGAGATTCTGTCCTGCTCCGTGTACCTGTGTAGAGGTTGCCCTTTCTTTCACAAGCCAGGGCTGATTGTAGGTTTTCACATCTTATGAGACCGAACAGAGTGTTGAGTGTTGGGCCATTTGCACCAGGTTATAAAAATTCCACTAGTTTAGAAATTCTGACTCAGACACAGGTGTTGCTCTGGAACCTCCTATCATAGGCTGGTTCTGTTAGGTGGCTGACTGCAGCTCTCGTCTCACCCTCCTGACCTTCCCTTCAGCCTCTCACCTCTGACTTGAAGCCACAGTCCTAGGCCCATGTCCCAGGCCCTCCTTCCACTCCCTCGTCTTCCCTGATCATCCACGTACCTCTAGCATGACAAGGTAGGGGGCCTCCTCCACAGTGCCCAGCACACCATGGCTCGTGAATGATGTATGTCTTTCCCTTCTGGAGGTGAAGATAGCCTGGTGTTCTGTGAGTTTCATGGGTGAACAAATGGTGACTGGCAGGGAAGAAGGCAGGGCCAGGCCTGTGGGGCCCCTTGGGACCAACAAGGATGCAGTGCAGAGGCCATCAGCTGACGCGGGACTGGTGGGAAATGCAGGAGGCAGGCAGGTGCTGGTGCCTGGAGCAGCAGGATAGAACATGTGACCATGGGCTGGGCAGAGGGACAGCTCCAGTGGGCCTCATCAGGCTCCCACCTGTACTTGAAGAGTCTTCTCATGTTTTAGGGTCAAAGGAACTTACTTAGGTGGGGCCATTTATCATCCCCTCTCTGCAGAGGACCCAAACACAGGGACAGAAAGGCAGCTCTGGCCAGTTGTACAGCTCATCATGCAAGGGCAGATGGTCTGGCCCTGGCCATCTCTTCAGATAAGGGCTAAGATCTGAGCCCACTTCTGTCTAATGCCTGGGTCGCTCCACCAAGGGCCCTTACCCAATCTCTGGCTTGGAAGTGGCATTTGTGTTCCTTTCCTCCAGGCGGCCGTGCCCCCACCATCACCGTATAGGGAGAGCTCCCCACCTGCCATGAGGGTGCTCCCTGGAAATGGTCGTGGTAACACAGGCTGCCACCAGAATGGAGGCAGTAGGAGTTTCTCTGGTGGTCATTGTCCAGGGCAGGGAAGGGCCCCATGAATCTCCAAGCTAAGTCCCTACCTTCCCTTGTGAGTGTGCCACCTCTAGCCAGGCTGCCAGCCCCCATCTTCCTTCCTCCACAGGGAGAAGCTGGACTCCTTCCTCCCTGCCCACCTCTGTAAGCGGGGCCACGGGCTCTTTGCTGCTTTCCGAGGCCGTGGAGCCAAGGCTGGGCCAGGGGAGCAGGGCCTGCTGAATGCCTACCGCCAGGTAAAGGAAGTGGTTGGCGACAACAGTGGGCATGAGGCCACGCTGGGCACACACTACCGTGCCTACCTCCTCAAGTGCCATGAACTGCCCTTCTACGGGTGAGCAGCCCCAGCCCTGGGTCCCCTCTGCCCCCTCCCCCAGCAGCCTAGCAGACTATCCTTAGGCTTTATTAGCATAACGGAGCCTGATTCTGCTTCAGCTGAGCACTGTCCTTCCGTGAAGCAATGTCTTGACACCAGCCCCCTAGACCCTACTGGCCCCAAGCTGGACACCTGCCCTCCCTCCTTTCTGTCATCACCAGGGCACCGTGGATGGATTCTCTCCTTCCACCTGCCACAGTTACTTGGTATATTCCTGCTGACCTTCCTTTCAGCCAGCCCTCTCTCCCTCACACAGCCAAGCATTTTGCAAATATTTTCTCACATCTGCTGTGTGCTGGGTGCTCTGTGGAGACTAGAGGTCCTTGGGTGTGCCAAAGATACCATATCCCCTGCCTGGTGTAGCTGACTTCTTAGTGGGGAGAGAGATAAGAACACAGAGGTAGAGGACACCCTGCAGGTGGGTGGCAGCAGCCCCCAGCCAAGCCTGAGGGGATAGCAGTCCTCTGGGAGAGGAGCTAGACTGGGACCATCCTCAGGAATCAGGGGATGGCCCATACTCATCTCAGCCTGTCCCCTTGCCATGTGGAAAGAGCAAGATGTAACTTGGGCTCTGGCATAGCCAGGGGCAAGGGCCATTGCCTTCTTACCCAAAACCATCCCCCTGGGCAGTTCTTTCCTCCTCCCCAGCAGGTCCCTGCTGCTGAAAGTTCTTTGCTCAACAGTAGGCAATGGGTGTCTCCTGCCCTGACATGGCCCGCCCTTCTCGCAGCCCCAGCCCTAGTGCCTGAGCAAACGTGTGACTTGCCCTTTCCCCTACCTGGGGCACACTCTTCCCTCCGCGTGGCACCTGCCCTTTCTCTGTGCCATCGAGGCCCTGCTCCCACCAGGCCAGTCTTGTATGACCAGCTCAGATGCCATTGCCCCATAACTCCTCACTCCCCTCAGTGTCTGTGCCCCGCTACTGGACTGGTTTCTGTCACCCACATAGCTTAAGCTGCTCAGAGGCCCAAGACAGGCCCAGAGCAGGCCTCCTAGGGATTTTCTGTGAGAAAGAAGGGAAGGCTGACACCTGTCCACTCCCCAGGTGTGCCTTCTTCCACGGCGAGGTTGACAAGCCAGCCCAGGGTTTTTTGCACCGAGGTGGGCGCAAGCCTGTAGCCGTGGCCATCAGTCTGGAGGGCGTGCATGTCATCGACAACAGGGAGAAGGTATCTTCTCCAGGGTATAGAGGAAGGGGTTAGAGGTCCTTAGCCAGGCCTCCCTGATTCCCCTGGGTCTGTGGGGTGACCTGGTAGGGTGGGTAGACTAGGAGGGACTCTGCCTTGCTTGGATACCTTAGGGCTCCTGCAATCCTTCTGAGGGCATCCCTAGGTTTTCCCTCGCTCAGCTTTCTTGGCCTGTGTGCTAGGCTGAAGGGTGGCTAGTGTCAGGGGAGGCTGCAGCTGGCATTTCTGCCTCTGAGTGGAGGGAGTCTAGCACTGTCCAGCCACTCTGTCTGGTGAACAGCTTGGCTTTCCAGAAAGACCCCTTAACTGGGAGCCTTCCATAGCTGACAAAGTCCTGCTTCTCACTACATTTGGCAGCTGGCCCTGGGTAGGTGATGGTATCAGCTAATCCTGTGGGGCAGCTCTCCCATGCCTGAGCAGAAGTCCCCTCCTAAGTCAGAAGAGTCTTGGCTGACTTCTGATTTTCCCTGGAGAAGGACTCCAGCCTCTCCTGTGGCAGGCCGGGGCCAGCTCAGCCTGCCTAGATGCTACCCAGCTGCCCTCTTAGAAAACACCTCCCTGACCCCACCTGACTCCCTGGCTGTACTCAGACTCAGCCCAACACTAGGAAGTGTGGGATAGGGTTCTCACAACAGCCCCTCTCCCAGGGGGTGCCCTGGGAGGGTCTGATGAAAGCTGGTGCTCCTCTCCTTAGAGAAGACTGTCTTGGAGGAGTAAACAACCCTGGCCAAGTGTCCCCTCCTTGTGGCACCTGAGTGGGATGGGGTGGAGAGCAGTCCTCTGCCCTGGGGCTCCAAGCCTTGCTCTGCATCTCCCACTGGCCAGCACGTCCTGCTAGGCCTGCGTTTCCAGGAGCTATCATGGGACCACACCTCCCCTGAGGAGGAGGAGCCTGTCTTGTGGCTGGAATTCGATGGAGACAGTGAAGGCACACCTGTCAACAAGCTCCTCAGGATCTACTCCAAGCAGGTAGTGTAGGCGTGGCCTGCCCCAGGGTGGGGGAGACTGGGCCCTAGGCTGGGAAGGAGAGAGCACAGCCAAGGGTGCAGAGCACCTGATTTCTGATGACCTGGAGCCGCCCTGGTCTGCAGATCCTGTGACAGGTGAGGCAGCTATGGGTGGGGCAGTAGTTGAGGCTTCCCCAGTGCTGCAGCCAGCTTGCACCCTCCCCTCCTGTATTCCAGCCACTGTGACGCCAGTGCTGCAGTCCCCACTGATAAGAGGTGGATGGAGAAGGATCAGGCCCTTCAGTGCCTTTGTCTGACTTTCCCATTCATGCTGGCACCAGATTTCCACCCAGCCTTGTTCCCCTGTCCCTTCCTCTGGTCACAGCAGAGACCCTTTTAGACACTGTTCCTCAGTCCTCTCTCTTCTGGTACAAAGACACACTGCAGGGACTCCTGTGGCCACCCATCCCCTTCTCCAGCTTCTGGATCTCTGGAGCCTTTGTTGCCAGCTGCTCCCAGCACCCTTTCACAGCCAGCCCTCCTCTATGCAGCCAGCCCCCACTGTTGTGCTCCCTACACAGCTTCAAGCTGCAGCAGTCTCTGCTTTGTCACACCCACTGGTCTTTGTCCCTCCTGAGCCCCGTACCTCCCACCTGGCTTGTCTCCCCTCTTCCCCTCTTCACTCTCCACCTCTACCCCTCAGGAGCGCCTCTCCCTTTGCTTAATTCATCCGCGATCTCTTTCTTCTCATGGCTTTGAACTTTAATGCTCATGAGTTCATGGTTTTCACATCACTTCTCTAGACTCTCTCCCCCTCCCCCCTTTTTTTTTGAGACAGTGTCTGGCTGTGTCACCCTTGGTAGAGTGCCATGGAGTCACAGCTCACAGCAACCTCAAACTCTTTGGCTTAAGCGATTGTATTGCCTCGGCCTCCCAAGTAGCTGGGACTACAGGCACCCACCACAATGCCCAGGTATTTTTTTGTTGTAGTTGTCATTGTTTGGTAGGCCCGGGCTGGGTTTGAACCCGCCTGCTCTGGTATATATGTGGCTGGCGCTCTAGATGCTGAGCTATAAGCACCGAGCCTCTAGACTCCCCCTTTTATTTTAGAGACAGTCTCACTTTATTGCCCTCCGTAGAGTGCTGTGGAGTCACAACTCACAGCAACCTCCAACTCCTGGGCTTAGGCAATTCTCTTGCCTCAGCCTCCCAAGTAGCTGGGACTACAGGTGCCCACTACAATGCCCGGCTATTTTTTGTTGCAGTTTGGCCGGGGCCAGGTTTGAAGTTGCCACCCTCAGTATATGGGTCCAGTGCCCTAGCCACTAAGGCACAGGCGCTGCCTGAGACCCCCGTTTTTAAGTAAATGCGTTATTGAACTATTATGTACTCACAAAAGTGCCCATATCCCAAGTGCATAGTGCAACAACTTTTCCTAAACAATTGTATATCATACTCTCCAGATTAAGAAATAGAATACTGGCTTGGCACTCGTAGCCCAGGGAGTAGGGCGCTGGCCACATACACCAAGGCTGGCAGGTTCGAGCCCAGCCTGGGCCTGCTAAACAACAATGACAACTGCAACAAAAAAAATAGCTGGGCATTGTGGTGGGCACCTGTAGTCCCAGCTACTTGGGAGGCTGAGGCA